AGCAGGAGCACAGGCAAGCGAAGACCATGACATACATGCACACTGCCATGTGGCCGAGGAGGGAAAGGCAAGTTCTGGCTGAGACTGAGGAGCTGGATGTCACTGAAGTGATCAGATACAGTAGGCTCTGGAGCCTGTCTTTCGGCACATATGAAGAGGGTGTGGTGGAAAAGATGGGGGGGGGGGGGAAATCGAAAAAAGCACTTTTTAAAATAAAGCATCAGTGATTCTCCTTGGCATCCCAGACAGCCAATATTAGTGGCATACATGGGGGAGAAACGTGAAGGCAAGAATAGTGGCCTTACAATCTAGCTCAGGGAAAGCACTCTGTGCATAAAGGAACAGCTTAAGAGAATGTGAAGACATTTCCACGAGCAGTGGACATACCTGTGGCTGAGACGATGTCACTGGAAGAGAAGAGAGCAACATGATAAGAATCAGAGTTGTGAAGAGCCTTGCAGGCAAGGACAAGAAACCTGAGCTTGATATGGTGAGAAACGGGAAACCAAAGGTGGGATTTAAGGGGTAAGGACTGATGCCACAACAGGCAAGAAAGATGAATTTCACAGCCACGTTTGTAAACAATGGAGGTGATACCAAGGAGACCAAGGAATAGCAGATTGTAGTAACCATGATACAAAATGATGAGACAAGAAGTTCCAATGGTGCGGACAGAAAGAAATGGTCAGCTATTATAAATGCTACTAAGTAAAAATTGGCAAGATCTGTACATGGCTTGGATCTGGGGTAGGAATAAATCAAGGATGTATCAAGGTTACAGAGCTGAAAGAAAAGGTGTATGGTTGTGACTTCAATAGTGACATCTGGGGGATGGGAAAAGAGATAGGAAAGATAAGGTAATAAGAAAGGTATTAAAAATGAATATTAACCGTCACTCATAATAAGATTTTAATTAAATGGCAGCACTTTAAACACTAATAAAAGGAAATACTTTTTAAAAAAACATTGGAAACTCACTGCCACAATATTACTGAGACCAAGAGATCAGAATTTAAATAAAAGGATTAGACACTTGTATAGACTATGAGAATATCTACTATTACATTAGTTATATATTTTTTTTAAGTGGGGATTTAAAATCTGATGCCTTGGGGCATAAGCCAACCATTAACTGGCAGAGCTAGGAAGAAACTTCCACAAAGGTCAGGTTATTCCCTTTCCAGCAGTTTGAAAGTCTCAGAAATTATGGAATAAATTAAGCAATCTCTACTCATTCCAGATTAATGTTCAGTGAAAGTTTGCAGATGACACAAAAACTGGGGGAGTGTTAAATAATGAAGAGGACTGGTCACTGATCTATGTCACTTGGTAAACTAGGTACAAACAAACAATACACATTTTAATATGGCTCATTGTAAATGTATGTATTTGGGAACAGAGAATGCAGGCCATACTTACAGGAGGGGGCCCTCTATCCTGGGAAGCAGCAATGCTGAAAAAGGCTTTCGGTTTGTGGCAGATAATCAGCTGAACATGAGCTCCCAGTGTGATGTTGTGGCCAAAAGAGCTAATGCGAGCCTAGGATGCATAAATGGCAAACTTGAGAAGGAGTAGGGAGGTTATTTTATCTCTGTATTTGGCACTGGTTGGACCACTGCTGGAGTACTGTGTCCAATTTTGGTACCCACAATTCAAGAAGGATGTTGATAAATTGGAGGACGTTCACAAAAGAGCCATGAGAATGATTAAAGGCTAAGAAAACATTCCTTATAGTGATACAATGAAAGAGCTCAATTTATTTAGCTTAACAAAGACGGTTAAGGGGTGACTTGATCACAAGCTATAAGTACCTACATGGGAAACAACTACACTCCACATCCAAGTAGGAGGAAGAAGAGAGGTAGGATTCTTACAAGGATGTTATCTTTGGACCTTGTTTGGGAACTACCTATTTCACGTAAGCCTCTGGCTAGTAAGTGTTTTAGAAATATGCATATTCAACCACCTTTCTGTGTGCTAGAAGAAAGAACATGCAAGCCTGTCTTTTCCCTTCAGATGCTCCCAGCTCAGGTATTCACAACTCTAACACCAGAGTCCTAGTGTGTGTGGGGGATGGTCTCAATAATCTACCTCTCGTCCATCATCCACATTTGGAATTCTCTCCCCATCATGATTACTCTAGCACTTTCCTCAAGCAGCAACAGAATTCTGCTGTCCACAAGAGTCTAAATGGCAAAGTTGAAACTAACCAGTCTGGTAAATTTCACTATACTGGGAGTAGCAATAAAACTGTCAATAAGAGAAAAAGAAGTTTTTGTAGCTTGGTATTGATATCAATTTAATTTGTACAGTATATGTATTTGGGGAAAAGTATCAGTGTGTTATTTTAAAAATCACCAGGTGACCAATGTGAGTCAGGTTTATTAATATGGTACAGGAAAAAGGTTCTATGCAATACCAGTCTCCAAAGAGCAGTCCTGTACAGCCCCATGTAACATTCACGTTATGCAGAAGGTGTGCTCCCCAAGTCACATCCCTAAAGCCATCTTTTTATACCCTACCTATTCACCTGTTAAAGGTACTATATAAGTCACCTGAAACAGGATTTAATTAATTAGCTTTACCTTGTTTGTTTCTGGTACCATGGTGTACCCTTTGTCTTTTCTTCTGAAACCATGTACTCCAGGTCATGATGCACCCTTATCTTTGTTCTGAGCAAATGCATTCCAGGTAATAAGGAGAGTGAAGGCACCTCCTAGGTTCCTATGGGTAATTCCTGTTGCCATGAAGAAATAATCACGTGTCCTATACTTACAGTTTTCCTGGCTACTCAAGCCAAGGTTTACTTCAGCATAAATTTACAGGATTATAACAAAGGTAAAAGCCAATCTGAGCTACATAACTGCTATACTACTGCTTAATAATACGTATATTTAAATACCAGCCACATACATCGTGGGTAGTATTATCAGCATAATATATAGGTATGCTACCCAGGGTATATCAGTCAACAAGCCCAAGCAGAATAAGTCAAAATAGAACACAGTATGATTTTTTTTTCAGCATCACTTAATTTTGTGTGAATGACTGTTGAAGTCCTGAATTGTGATATGCTGCTCTCTTCAGACCTATTTTTTATAACATTTGTTTATAACAATAATGCTCAAGAAGCCACTACCCAATCTTTTCTGAATAAGTACTTAGTATGAAGTAAAGGCATACCCTGTTTTGTGAAACCTTAAAAGGTTAGCTCAAATTAGCTTAAAAAGTCCTACCCACTAAGTTTGCCAACTTACCACAATACTACTGTTTGAACATTTGATGTCAGTGAGAGTTCATACCCATTTTGTACTTATTCAGCCTCTCACAATGATCAGGCTTTTTACAAGTTTGTTTTACTATCATGCTAAATATCAGATATAATCCTGGATATTATATATTGAGGAAAATACAACAATTTTGACCACACTGTCATCCTAGTCAGCTCTCTCTGAGCTGGGAGGTGAAAACATTATCTATCTAAATACATTGAATTTTTTAAACATGTTCAAAAGATGACTTTTGTTAAACTTACTATCTTATCCTCCTGTTTCTGCAGCCATATTACCGTCACAGTTAAACGAGTTTCTTCCATTTTGAACACTGCTAGTTTGAGAGTAATTCCTTGCACTAACACAAGAAGTACCACTGTGACCAGTACTCTCTCTCAAACTAGAATTTTTTTAATAACCATCATTTCTCATTTTCAGTATTACTACTTTGTTAAATACACTTGTTCCCTTTTTCTAGATACTTCTACTTTTGCAGAATTTAATGCCAAGAAATGAATAACCACTCAGCACTCTATTTGAATAATGCATCCGAATATATGTATGGCTCTGACACATGCTGCAGTAGCACCACCATTAAATACCATATTTTATAGAATTAGAACAACACTGAGTGGTGACATATTAAGTCAAAATGATGTAGGTGGTCTACTTCTAAGAGATCAAATTTACTTTTAAGTAAATACAAATTTTGACACTTCATGGCTAAGGTGGGAGTGTGAATGGGGGGGGGGGGGGGGAGGTATTAGCCCTCCTGGAAGTATCAAGAATTTTTAAAATTGTCTTACTTGTGAGTCAGTTTCCAGAGAACCAGAAATCTGAGAATTCTCAGTAACTGAACACCAAGTAAATAAATGGAGTCACTAGACCTACCTCTTTCTTTATAAGCATGAACGATACCTAGGGCAGTTTGTATGATCTACTGACAATTAACAAGCTGCAACCTAAAGATGAAACACTTCACAAAACACCTTTTTCAACAACAACAAAAAACAGATTCAAGCTACAACTAAACAGCCTTGTCTGCTGGCATCTTCAGAGGGCTGACGCTATGGAGTGATAACAAGAAGCTTGACCCGAAGCCTAGTATGATTGTGGGGAGGTTTTTTTGGGTGCTGCACCTGGCAAATATGCAGCCTGTCACTGCCCGAAAGGGAAGGTGGGGCCGTTTCCCTGGTTTCTGTTTGAACAATGGAACAGGCACCTACCGAGGGGAAGGGATCGGGCTCTGCTCATCATCCTCTTCCCGGGGCCGGCCAAGTCTCCTGCAGTGCCAGGCCCCTCATTGTCCTGGGCACACGGGACTCGCCCGCCCAGCCGGGCCCGACACTAGAGCCGCAGGAGCGTGCTGCCCAGGGTGGCCCCATAGGGCCATGGCGGTCTCATGGGCTCAGGCTATGCCCGAAAGAGAGTTCAGGGACACAGGAAGAGTCAGCGCCGCCGGCTAACGCTGCCACTGCCCCGCCCCCACCCGGAGCCCGGACTCAGCCGCTCCCGAGTCCCGCTGTGCTGCCCCCCGGGACCCGCGGGCAGTGAGCGCCCCCCGCCGAGGCCGAGTGCGGGGTCGGGCCGCCCCGGTTACCAGCAGGGAGCCTGTCTCCCAGAGCGGCCCCTCCCTGCCTCTCACAGCCCAGCAGCCCCGGGGGCGGGCAGCCGCCCGCACCGCTCACCCAGGGCCCAGCACCACCCCCGGCCCAGCCCCTCCCTCACCAGGTGTCGCCCTTGCGCAGGGCGGTTTTGAGCAGCGCCGCGACGTCCGAGCGCTGGGTCTCCAGATCCGCCGCGCCTCCCTCCGCCATCTTCTCCCCCCGGCGGCAGCGGCGGCGGCGGCGGCAGCAGGGGCAGAAGCGAGCCGCGATGCATGCTGGGAGTGACGCCAACCGGGGAGACGCCCTCCCCTCGCAACCGCAACCCGAAGGCGTGGACAAGAGGGGAGATTGCGCGCGAGCTGGCGGCGCGGGAGCCGCTGCTGCCCCCTAGCGGGCGGGAGGTCTCTCAGCTCCGCTCCGCTCCGCGTGTGCCGCCGGCGGCGCGCCCTGCTGGTACCACCCTGGGGACTCCCGCCTCGGCCTGGCGCTGGCCCCTGCCCCGTGGGCTCGGGACCTGCTCCCATCCAGAGCCCCGCCCCTGTGTGGGTGCCCGTCCCTGGGCCACAGGAGGGCCGGGCGAGGCGCCCATCGAGTCCCTGGGCTGGAGAAGGCGAGAGGGGAAGGGCGGGCATAGGCGGGGAGCGCGCTGTGACCGCAAAACCAAGCCGCTAGAGAGAGGAGAGAGAGAGCTCAGCCCTTGGCAAGCCCAAAGAGAGTGCAGCTCTAAAGGGCAGGGAGGGGAGATTGGCTGCTGTCCTAAAGCATCCACGGCCAGTGTTTTCCCCAGGAATGGGGGGGGGGGGGGCAGGGTGATGAGGGGTGAGACTGTGAGGGTGAAGGTGGGTTGTATGGCACCATAGTAAACACTGAAAAATGTTTCATGGCCATTTTATTAAATTTAACTCCTGTTTTAAAATCATCACACATATTAAAGTTGGCTACTCAAGTCTTCTGTGAAGCATTATATCTACATCCTTCGGTTTCTTGTTATAATTTTGCACAACTCTGTTAATGAACTTCTTGAATGCAATGTGTTCATCTTTGGTGGCTTCTCGTGTGTCCCGTACTTCCAATCCTTCAAGTGATATGCTCAGTAGTTCATTCACAGGATGAGGCAGAAGGCGACTTCTTTCAGAACGCAAAATTCTATTCAATGATGAAAAAGAACGCTCAACTGTAGCTGTTGTGACTGGGAGTAGCAAGAGATTAATTCCTACTTCTTTCATCCCAGGAAACATAACACAAAGATCGGGTCGAGCCACTAGTGATGATAAAAAGAAGTTGAAGTCTAATCTTCATTTATTCGTCGTATGATATTCCACTCTGTGTTCAAATCCTCTAGCCTGTCCTGAGCACATGGCAGCCCCATGTGCTTCACTCTACTCAACTGTCAGTGTTTTATAGTGTCTTATAGGACAGGGATCTGTAAAAGCTATTTAGAGGTTGAGTAGAATCTAGAAGTCACTGTTGTAGATTTTTAAGAATCAAGTCTGTGTACTTTTTCAGTTGCCTTAACAAACACTTCTTGTCCTCTTCACTTAAGGATTCAATATAAATGCCTTCATTAGTCAACTTCTGGACTGAAGTGTGCTTCTTCCAGTACTTTTTCAATGGATAGCTCTCTGATTTGTCCAAATGTAGCTTCTATTGCTGGACAAAGATCTACTACTGTTGTAGCAGATGCCTGGATGGCATGGTTTAATGACCCAAGTGGTTTCAACAGTACACGTACAAGAGAGAGAATGGCAATAGTCTTCTCTGAACGTAATAGCAAAAGTAATCAACCAGCCTCACTACTTAGATACATCCCATCTTGAGATACTTTCCAAAGCCAGTAATAATGGCTGGAGTAATTTTAAGACAGCCAAGGATCGCTCATGAGAAAGCCAGAGGGTTTTCCCAGGTTGGACTAATTTGAACTTCAGTCCCAATGCATCTTCTATACTTTCCAAGATATTCAGTCTTTTTGGACTCTTGCTGAAAAAAGAATATAATGAAGACATTAAATTTATAGCTCTTTTAATGTCTTTTGAAGAGTCTGCAGCTCGTACTAGCGCTAGTTGGAGTAGATGGCCTCTGCAGTGTGTATAGGAGAGATTAGGGTTACACTTTTCTCTGAGCAAAGCTTGTACTCCACCAAGTCTTCCAGCTCCATCAAATGCACACGCAGCCATCTGTCTGGGGTCCAATTGATAAGCATTTAACTCTTCTAAGATGTGGATTGTCACAGATGTGTTTCTATAACTTGAACATCTAGAAATGCAACTACTGGCCTACCACTGACATCAAGATAATGTACACAGTGACTTAATACACCTCTACCTCGATATAATGCTGTCCTGAGGAGCCAAAAAATCTTACCACGTTATAGGTGGTGAAACCGCGTTATATCAAACTTGCTTTGATCCGCCGGAGTGCGCAGCCCCGCCCCCCCGGAGCACTGCTTTACCGCGTTATATCCGAATCCGTGTTATATCGGGGTAGAGGTGTACTTGATGCCCATTTGCACTGGTGCATTCATCAGCCATGTATACATATTTTCTGAATGCGGTGAGAGAGTTTTTCATTTTTTCAACTGTTGAGTCTTTCACTGTTGCACCACATGCTTCTAGCCCATCAGTTGAGTTTCTTGCAGAAAGATAGTGAGCATTTGCTGGTCTTGTTCGGAACCAGTGTTCAACTTCAGGATGAACAAGTGACAATGCACTTAACATTGGCCTCCAGTTTGTAGTGTATGATGCCACAGCTATGTTTGTTCACATGAACTGTGTTGTGTCTCCAGCATTCTTAACAGCCTCATTAACACTCACTGGCGTTCTTCTTGGTCAGTGGAGTTCAGAGGTGCTTTCACATGAGTTCACCTCCCAGGTGGGGGGCAAGAAGGCACCTTGCTCGTTCCTCCAGCTGCTCACTGTTCGCTCTGGCCACTGTTGTTCATTGTGCCACCGTTCACTCCATCGCTCTGTTGCCAATGGCCCTGCGCCGTCACCTTCTGCTGCCACCTGCCACTGTGACCTCTGCTAGGTTGTCTCTTGAGGTTCCACCCAGCTCTGAGTGATTTCAGCTGAGCTCTCAGTGGGGGAACCTCGCTGCTAGTGCAGACTGGGCCGTCTCTTCCACAGAAACATTGTCCCACAGCAGATTTAAGCACTTAGACCTGATTATCAGTGATTTCAGCTGTAATGATCACTTAACAAAACAAAAGACTATCTATGGAGCCTAATCAGCTCTGTCTTTAAGCAGTGGAGAGGGGCAGGTCAAATAGTACTGGTGACTCAGGCAGACCATCAAGCAAAACACCTGTCCCCACCCTCTCTCTCTCTCTCTCTCTCTCTCTCTCTCTCTCTCTCTCTCTCTCGATGCCCTCAATCAGCACAGGCTAAGTACAATTCTACTACCCTTTACTCATACAATAAGATTAACAACATTTCATTACCCCCCCACATTCAAGTGGTTTGTAACCCAACCCCAGCCAAAATCTATCACTTGGGCAACGCAGCTCTGTTTGCTGGATACCTAGGTAGATTAAGTGTGAATGTAAATACAATCTGGTCCTGAAGCCTTTCCCCCCAGTCCCCAGCTCATCACTAGCTGTCAGGGAGAGCTCATTTAGACTTTGCTTACAAATCATAATTTGAAATTATTAGGTTGGCCAGCATCACCGAAATGAATGCACTGACATTGTCATAAAAAACAACAGCTGTATAAGGAAGCTAGTCTTTGTTAATACTTTTCAAATCTATTATACTTTTTCAGATACACATATTTTATAATACACTTTATATACTTTTAAAGTGTGTATTAATGTTTCAATTTCAATTCAAATGTCCAAACAATCACTAAATTGGCAATACTGCATGTAACTAGTTCACAAAACTGGGGGGGAGTTTTGGAGAAATTCAGGGGGGGTGTAGGGAAATCCCTGTCCACGGCTACCTAGGATAGCATCCACGGCTCCCCAAAGCCACCAGGAATTGTAAAGAGCCCAGGTGGGAGAGGCAATATCTTTTATTGGGCCCACTTCTGTTGGTGAGAGAGACTAGCTTTCGGGCTACACAGAGCTCTTCTTCGGCTCTGGGAAAAGTACTCTAAGTGTCACAGCTAAGGTCTGAGCACCCTTCCCAGGCCTGTGTGGCTTGAAAGCTTGTCTCTCTCATCAACAGAAGCGGATCCAATAAAAGATATGACCTCACCCACCTTGTCTCTCTAATAGCCTGGGACTCAGATGGCTACAACAACACTGTGTACAACAAAGGAATTTTAAAGTTGGAAGAGATTTTCAATGGGACATGACATAGTTGTGCTTGGGAGATGTGTTGAAACGGGTAGCTGTTTCTCTGATTGGTGTGCAAATCAGATTGGCTCCAAAGCATGGGCGGCAGTATCATAGGCCAGGGGTGTCTGTGCCTTCCCAAACAGCCTGGGTGGGGCTGGCGGGGCTACCACACGGACTCGGGGCAGCTGGCGCTGGGGCCACGCTGCCTGCCCAGCACTCGGACTGTGCCACCTGGCACTCTGGGACTGGGGGTGCTGCGGCCATGCTGCCTGGCTGCCTGGTGCTGGGGGCTGCAGTGGGCTCCTGCGGAGGAGGGGAAGGAGAAGGATTGGGGCCTCAGGCAGAAGGGGAGGGGCTAGCCTCCCCTAACGGCTGTGTCACTGGCTACCCATGCTCCAAAGACATGTGGATTTCCTAACATGTGCTTCATAAATTAATTGCTATGTTTTGAAGAAAAGAGATACGTTAAGTAGGCAGGACACGTGTTAGTTAATCATAGAATACCAGGGTTGGAAGGGACCTCAGAAGGTCATTTAGTCCAACCCCCTGCTCAAAGCAGGACCAATCCCCAGACAGATTTTTGCCCCGATCCCTAAATGGCCTTCTCAAAGATTGAACTCACAACCCTGGGTTTAGTAGGCTAATGCTCAAACCACTGAGCTATCCTTCCCCCCACGCAAAGAATAAGTTAAAAATTAGATTTTTAATTTTTTTTAGCCGTGGCTGCTCAAGGCATGTGAAATCTAAACATAGTGTAAAAGCTAGGTTTTGGTAAATATAATTTGTGATTTTAGCTAAAAACGGGCTGGTACTCCATAAAGATCCTTAGTAAAGTGGAAAGTGATAATAGTAACGTCTAGGGAGGGGTCTGGTATAGACAGATAAGCTAGAGAAAGAAATAGGTTATTGGACATACACACAGTATATATATATATATATATATATAAAATCAGTTATTAAATCAATATCTAATTTACATGC